TTCTTTGGATCATTTATGTAAACTATCATATCATCTGCAAATAGTGAAAGTTTGACCTCTTCCTTTCCAATTTGTATCACCTTGATCTCCTTTTGTTGTCGTATGGCTCTGGCTAGAACTTCAAATACAATATTGAAAAGGTATGGAGAGAGTGACAGCCTTGTCTTGTTCCTGATTTTAGCGGAATTGAGTTGAGTTTCTGTCCATTTAGTTTGATGTTGGCTGTTGGTTTGCTGTATATAGCTTTTATTATGTTTAGGTATGTTCCTGTTATCCCAGATCTCTCCAAGACCTTTATCATGAAGGGGTGTTGGATTTTGTCAAAGGTTTTTTCTGTATCTAGTGAGATTTTTGTTTTTCAGCTTGTTTATATGGTGGATTACATTGACGGATTTTCGTATGTTGAACCATCCCTGCATCCCTTGGATGAAACCTACTTGATCGTCGTGAATGATTGTTTTGATGTGTTCTTGGATCCAATTTGCCAGTATTTTTTTTAAAGATTTATTTATTTATTATGTATACAGTGTTCTGTCTGCATGCATGCCTACAGGCCAGACAAGGGCATCAGATCTCATTATAGATGGTTGTGAGCCACACACCCACAGAGCCATCTCTCCAGCCCCAATTTGCCAGTATTTTATTGAGTATTTTTGCATCAATGTTCATGAGAGATATTGGTCTGAAGTTCTCTTTCTTAGTTGTATCTTTGTGTGGCTTGGGGATCAAGGTTATTGAAGCCTCGTAGAAAGAGTTTGGCAAAGACCCTTCTATTTCTATTGCGTGGAATACTAAAATGGTTGAGAGCCACTTGAGAAAGTGCTCAACATCCTTAGCCATCCGGGAAATGCAAATCAAAACAACTCTGAGATATCATCTTACTCCTGTCAGAATGGCTAAAATCAAAAACACCAACGACAATTTATGCTAGAGAGGTTGTGGTGAAAGGGGAATACTCCTCCACTGCTGGTGGGAGTGCCAACTTTTATAGCCACTTTGGAAATCAGTATGGAGATTCCTCAGAAAAATGAGAATAAACCTACCACAAGACCCAGCAACTCCTCTTAGGCATATATCCAAAAGATGCCCATTCATACAACAAGGATGTCTGTTCCACTATGTTCATAGCAGCATTATTTGTAATAGCCAGAACTTGGAAGCAACCTAGATGCCCCTTAACTGAAGAGTGGATAGAGAAAATGTGATACATTTATACAATGGAGTACTAGTCAGCAGAAAAAAACAATGGTATCTTGAAATTTGCAGGCAAATGAAGAAACCATCCTGAGCAAGGTAACCCAGTCACAAAAAGAAACATGGCATGTACTCTCTCATATATGGATTTTAGACATAGATCTGGGGAGTGCCAGCCTACAATCCCATGGCCAAAGAATCTAGGAAACAGAACCTTCATTCAGAGGCTGATGGAAGCAGAGGCAGACTCCCACGGCTAAGCACTGAGCTGAACTCAAGAAATCCAGTGACAGAGAAGGAGGACTGATGACCAAAGGGATTAAGACTGGGCTGGTTTAATCCCCAGAAACAGCTGACCTGACAAGGGTTAGTTCTTGAATCCCAGACTGATGCCTGGGAATCCAGCATGAGACTGATCAAGACCCCCTGAATGGGGGTATCAGTGAGGAGGCCTAGGTAATCTACTGAGCCTTGGGTAGTAGATCAGTATTTATCCCGGGTATACAAATAGACTTTGGGCTCCTATCCAACAATGAGAGATGCACTCTCACCCTGAACTCTTGGGGGAAGGTCTAGGCCCTGCCCTGGATGAAATGACAGACTGTGGACACCCCTATGGAGGGCCTCACCCTCCCTGGGGAAATGAGGGGATATGGGGGGATTGGTAGGAGGACTCGGGGGAGGGAAGAGAAAGGGAGAGGGGCCTGGAATTGACATGTGAAGCAACCTTGTTTCTAATTTAAATTTAAAAATAAAAAAGAAGTTAGGCAGATAACAGTATCAATCATTAGTAAGGTAAACACAAATAGCTTACTATAGAGGCACACACCATTAGTCCCAACATTTGGAGAAAGAGGAAGGCAGAGCTCTGTGAGTTTGAAGTCAGTCTGGTCCACATAGCAAGTTCCAGGCCAGCTAGAGCTACATAGTGAAGTTGAAGACCTTGTCTTAAGAAACAAAACAAAAAGATATATACTAATCTATTCTAAAGAGTTGAAAGTTAGCCAGACAGTGGTGGTGCACACCTTTAATCTCAGCACTCAGGAGGCAGAGGCAGTTGGATCTCTGTGAGTTCAAGGCCAGCCTGGTCTACAGAGTGAGTTCCAGGACAGACAGGACTACACAGAGAAGCCCTGTCTGGAAACCCGCCCCCCCCAAAAAAAAAGTGGGCAGGAGAGAAGCAACTCTAGTTATCCTCTCTCATCCACATGTGCCATGGACACACGCCCCTCTCACTGTATCACACATGCAAATTCTTAAAAAGATGATCTAGTTATCTTGTGTGCTAATGGCATTGTGACACAAATGCGTGCGTGCGTGCGTGTGTGTGCGTGTGTGTGTGTGCGCGTGTGTGTGTGCGCGTGTGTGTGTGTTGGGTGGGGGTGTACTGGCTACTTGTTTCAAATGATCCTGGAAGAAGTATATGTAGAGAAAATACTCCCAGCAACTTGATAAAGTTTCTGAGAAGTCTGTTGTGGTTTGAACATGCACCGTTCTCCATAGCAGTGTTTGAATACTTGGTCACCAGCTGGTGGTGCTGTTTGGGAAGGTACTGTTAGGAGGCTGAAATCCACTGGAGGAAGTGGGCCCCTGGGGGAGGACCTTGAGTTTTATAGGCCAGTCTCATATCCTGGTCATTGTGTGCTTTGACTGGAGAGGCAGCCTGGCCAGCAAAGCCTCCTTCCTCCTCCTGTCATCATGCCTTCCTTGTCCTCACAAAAGGTATTCTTTCAAACTGCAAGGCAGAAGAAACTCCCCACTTTCCTCAAATTGCTTTGTCACAACCATGATTGAAGTGACAAAGTCTCATGTATCCTAGGGTGACCTTAAACTTCTGGTTCTCCTGCCTCCACTGGTAATCTGGGCTAAGTATTGGGCCATGCTGAGGATCACATCCAAGGCTTCATCCATGCCAGACAAGCTAAATCCCATTAGATACAAAGTAATTTTAAAAATTCTTTCAACCTTTAAACATATATTAAAATCTTCAAAGTAAAAAGCTCACACTAATAGTTAACCTATAGTCATCTTTTTTTTTAGTTACAGCTGTTTTCTTATCCCATGGTCCTTCAGTTTGAAGAAAAGTGTCCTGGCTAGGGTTACTATTGCTGTGATGAAACACCATGACCAAAAGCAAGTTGGAGAGGGAAAGGTTGCTGGGAATTGAACTCAGGACCTCTGGAAGAGCAGCCAGTACTCCTAACATTTCTCAAGCCCCCTGCTTTCTTTTAGAACCCAGAACCACCAGCTTAGGGGTGTCCCCACCCACATCAATCAACAGCCTGATGCTATGGTGGCATTTTCTCAATTGAGAATTAACTCTGGTAACTAGCCAACACACACAACAAAACGGGCAAAAAAGTGGATAAAACACTCCAACATGGGGCTGGAAATGGCTCAGAGGTTAAAAGCATTGACTGCTCTTCCAGAGGTGCTGAGTTCAATTCCCAGCAACCACACGTATTTCACAACCATCTGTACTGAGATCTGGTACCCTCTCTTCTGGTCTGCAGGGATACATGCAGACAGAACACTGTATACATAATAAATCTTAAAAACAAACAAACAAAAAACAAAAAAAACCTCAAACACAAACCTACAGAACTTAAGGAAAACTGGGCTCAAAAACTATGACAAACCCAATCAGTAGCAGTTTCACATATGTAGCCATGGGTAAGAAATACACGAATTCGTTCTGAAAAAGCCTGTCACTTGCTGGCAGGAGCCCACGGGCCTGAGTATTACTCTCTGGCCAGAGGAAGAGAATGAGGGACTATCATATGGTCATAAAGGCGAACTGGCGTAAGCTAGCGAGAAGGAGGGAACAGTTGCAAGGCCAGGCATCACTGCAGCTGCAGCTTGCGAGGAAGACGGGCCCAGTCCTGTGAAATGAGACGGGAGCTGTTTCTGGAAGAGGGAGTGTGCCTTGTATGTCTACGCAGTTCCATTCAGCCAGGTGCACCTGTCTGTTCACCTGGCATTACCCACAGGCAAAACCACACACAAGCCCAAATTCTGCAGTGCTCCAAAACCTCCCAAATATATCACTCCCTCTAAAGTAATCTGGGTTGTAGAAGAGACTATAAGGTAATCCATCTTCTACACCAAGCCTTTCTACAGAAGATCAACACTGATTCTCTTGTTTTTAGACAGGGTTTCTCTGTGTAACCCTGGCTGTTCTGGAACTCACTTTGTAGACCAGGCTGGCCTTCAACTCAGAGATCTGCTTGCCTTTGCCTCCTGAGTACTGGCATTAAAGGCATGCGCCACACCACCACCAGCAGCTTGACATTGATTCTCTTTTCTTTTTTAAATGGTAGATCTATAAGGGGAGTGTGCTTTTTTTTAATATTTTATTTATTTATTGTATATACAGTCTTCTGCCTGCATGCCAGCGGAGGGCACCAGATCTCATTCAAGGTGGTTGTGAGCCACCATGTGGTTGCAGGGAATTGAACTCAGGACCTCTGGAAGAACAGTCAGTGCTCTTAACCGTTGAGCCATCTCTCCAACCCCCTGACATTGATTCTCTTAATAAGACCTTCTTCTTACTCAATCTACAAGTTAGCAGATCAATACACTGGAATACAGACAGACATTCATTTTCTTTTCAGTTCCCAAGTGAACTAAGTTCCCACTTAGGGCCCACAATCTTTGCAAGGAGGCTAGGCTTTGTATCACCCATGACCTGCCCAGAAAAGAACAGGGCCCAAATGTCCTATGCCAACTATGTGATCAGGATGACGAAGAGCCCAACATGCACAATCCCCCCCCCCATTGTGTGGTCAAAGATAAATAGTCTTGTGTAGCAATCTTTATGTATTTATTCTCACGTTTGATAAAAATGTCATAGGAGCAACTCATTATGATAGCACAAATAACTGTACAGAGTCAAATCACCATTAAGTCAGAACAAAGGGCAACCATAACTGCTTAATACCTGTACCCCATCACGCACACACACACAAAACACACACGCATTCAACTACAGGTGCTAAATTCAGATAAATGGTTTCTGTCAGGTCCTGGGGAGAAGGGAGAAATGCTCACTGAAAGACACTGGGACTGCTCAATGCATCTCTGCTCTGCCGATACTCCAAAAGACATCAAACAATGGGGGGAGTTAGTTGTTTCCTTGGCACAGAACTGAGTCAGCAACAAAAGTTTTTAAAAAGGGTTAAGTTTACCTTGGGCTTAGTTTCCTTTTCCAACACTGCAACAGGATAGCAAGCAGGACAAAAAGAAAAATTCAGCTACATAAACTCCAGGGAAAAAGAAGGGAGGGAGGAAAATTTAAAACTTGATCCCTATTCACCATAAAGAAACCAGCAATGCCAGGCCCATATCATCTGGTTGTGATCCTATCCAAACTGTGTGTCTTACTTCTATGTCAGCTTTGGAGAGAAATGTTTTAGAGGCTCAAGAGGGTCACTTAAGCCATATCCCTACCACATTAGTAGTGGCAAGACTTCATCTGCTGGCCACATGGTAGCTTACAGTTTTAAAGTTCTGAGGAAATGGTGCAACCACCATCCACTACCTTTAGGCCTCCAGGAAGGCCCATCAATCTGCAGTGGGAAAACAGTGCTAAGGAGTTGTGCTCAAATCTACAACTCCATTTTGCTACAGGGTTAAAAAGAAATATAGCTGCTTTTAAGTGAGTCATTCTGTGTGTACTTCCACTGACCCTATCAAAACCCTGATGGATGGTATCAATAGAAAGCTACTGTCTAAAGGGATTAGTCTCTGGGGCTCCTAGCAAACGGGCTAAGGCGATGGCAGAGGCAACAATTCAGCAAGCACAGCCCATGAACACAGAAAAGCCACCAGTTAAGATGAAAAAATGCTTTGAGTCAAATGAGTAAGTGTCGTAGTATTTTGCAGGGGGAAGGATTCCTTGGTACAAACTTCACGTCTCTAATGATAAAGCAAGGTGAGGACAAGGCACTTAGCTCAGCCAGTGTTCACATCACCACAGGACTGTTACCAAGAGCACTCCTAGTGACCCCTTAGTGAGACCCCAGGACCAATCACTTTCCAAGTGATATACACAACTGAAGGATATCCAGAGCACTGCACACCAACGGTGGCATTTGGAATGTCAGCAAGGAAGCTTCTCGGAGGAGGCAGATGGGAGTCATTCCCTTCTGGCCTAAAGTGAGAGGTTTGTTCCAGATTAGCTCAACATAATACTGGATTTCACAACAGTTGGCCTGAGAACATGACGACTCCATGATGTCACAGTCCTCTCTGTTTGGTAAAGAGCAAGACGGCTCCAAATGAAATCTAACTCCAGTTATAATTCTCTCGCACTGACAGCTACAGCAGATGTCTTCTAACACATGTGACTTGTCCCTGCCCTGCAGCAGAGCTGAGGGAGCAGCAGGGCCCGAAGTGCCTGTCTCTCCTTATCCCAAAGGCCTTTACGCATACTCAATCCGAGCTGGGCCACGGCTACCCTCACTCTTTCGCTCAGAAGACGGAGCAGTGGCCTTGGCCTCGCTGCTCATTTCCAGAGGCTTAGCCGAGATGTAGTCCTTCACTTTGATCTCCATGTTCTTGGCTTTCAGAGTGGCCATGTGCAGCTTCTCAAGGAAATCTGGCATGCCTATTGGGACACAGAAGAATCTGGTCAAGCTGCTGTGATGGTTAGTTTTTTGTCAACCTGACACAAGCTAGAGTCATCTAGGAATAGGGAATCTCAATTGAGAAAAGGCTTCTCTAAGACTGGCCTCTAGGAAAGTATGGGGGGGCTCCCCCTCAAGGCTTTTCTTAATTAATGATTGATGTGGAGGGACGAACCCAGTGGGTAGTACCATACCTACCTAGTCAGATGGTCCTAAGTTGTACAAAATAGGCTGAGCAAACCATGGAGAGCAAGCCAGTAAGCAATGTTCCTCTATGGCCTCCGCTTCAGTTGCCTACCCTAACTTCTTTTCATGATGGACATAAGCTAATAGGTAAAATAAACCTTTTCCTCCCCAAGTTGCCTTTTTTGTATGTGTGTGTGGTCATGGTGTTCATTAGAGCAACAGAAGCAAACCAGAACAGCTGACATACAATATAATAATAACAGGCTCAAAACCAGAGTTTATTCCTCCCTATGCACAGGCTGTGAATGAAAGCTACCCAACTCTGATGTTCTCCTGTTAGGTGATTAAAACATCACTTAGTGATACAGTCAAAACTGTCATTTAATTCAGATAAATGAACCAGATATATCTAATTTCCAACCCTCCTTCTGAGGGGTAGGGAACTACTAGAGCACTGGAAGAAAGTAAACTGTATGAGGAGTCAGGCATGGCATCATACAACAGTAATTCCAACAACTGGGAGGTTGAAGTAGGGAGATCTACAGTTTAAAACCAAGCCGGCAAGCCTGGGAGGTAGTGGCACATGCCTTTAATCCCAACACTCGGGAGGCAGATCTCCGTGAGTTCGAGGCCAGCCTGGTCTACAGAGCTAGTTCCAGAACAGCTAGGGCTGTTACACAAAAAAACCCAGTCTCAAAAATTAAATAAACAAATAATGAAACAAAGCTGTTCTTTAATCCCAGCACTCTGGAGGCAGAGCTCTGTGAGTTCAGGGTCAGCCTGGTCTACAAGTGAGTTCTAGGACAGCCAGAGCTATTACACAGAGAAACCCTGTCTCAAAAATCCAAAAAAAAAAAAAAAAAAAAAAAAAAAAAAAGGGGGGTTAAAGCCAGCCTGGATTACACAAGATATTCTCAGAAACAATACAAAAGAAAAATCCAAGCCAAAACAATGAAACTCATGTGCAGACAAAGTATTAGAACTGGGAGATGTGATTATGGCTATGACATGTAGCCTGTTAGGTAGTACCAATTTCTCTAGGTAACTAACTGCCCCATGACTAAGTCCTTCTGGCCATATCTCACAGCCTTCAACATTTTGGTTTTATAAGATGTCACCTAGGCTGCCCTTGATCCTCCTGCCTCATTCCCTGTATCCACTACTGAGATTACAAGTGTGCACACCACCAACCTAGCCATTCAGCACCATTGAGCAAAAAATCTAAATACATCAATGATCTAAGTTCATTAATGCCTGTATGTAGGCTTGGAATTGAGTGTCTTGTAAACTCTCCTCTGGGTAAAAAGAAAAAATCCTTTCTGGAACCCCTGTGCTTCTTAACTCTTCAAATGCTACCTAGAGGCAATAGTGAAATGTCTACAAAACGGTAAGACCAATCCTCCTGTTGCCATTGAGACAGAAAAACAAACGGTTCAGCTCAGGTTCAGGCCCCCTGTGCATACCCCTACTTACCACTGGAAACCATCCAACTGACACAGTAACGAGGGAACACTGTCTGTGGATTGTCACTGTATGTCAGTAAATAATCAAAGCCATTCTGGAAAAGAAAAATAGCAACAATGAGGGCACCTGGATCTCTCTCCGCATGACTCAATACCGCAGTGAAGAGTACAATACCCTCTGCACAAAAAACTGACAGCGAAGGCCAGAGGCCGCTGTTCACAGAAAGGTCCCTCACCATCTTGTTCTTGGTAAATGAAGTTTCCTATGCCCAAATCACAACAAATATCTGGTGGCCTTGTGAAAGTTGGATTTTCTTCATGGAGGTTCAAAATTTACATGTTAAATACAGGGTACTATGGGATCAGCTTCTAGTGAAAACTCCAGCACCGAGTCTCTCACCGGTTGCTGGCCAAAACATTAAACACACATTGTTGCATCTTGATGCTAGAGAAGGAAGCCTCAAAGCTCTTCTGTGTCTTTTTCCTTTATAACCCAGTTGTATATCCCTACTATGTCACTGCTTTAACTAGCAAGGAGTACACTATTTGCTGAATCTTGAAGGTCTTTTTAGCAAATCTTCAAACGTAGGAATAGCCTTGAAGACCCCAGTACAGATGCCCAATGTTTACAACGTAAAGATCTCACCTTCCCCTTCTGTTCTCAGTGCTAATAATAACTGTTTGCACAACACTATGCAGCTAGAGCTGCCTTAGGTCTTTGCAGCCTATAATGCACTACCCTCTTCCACTTTACAGATGAGCAGCTTGGACACAGAAGTGAGAAAGGGAACTCTGACCACCAGGCCTACACACCTACTGTTCTTTGGCTCAGCCCTCTCATTCCTAATAGCAAAAAAGATCCAGGATTATTGAGGTGATTAAAGGGTCCTCATCCTGATCGGTGGCACATGTCCGAAGTTACAGTACTTGTCAGGCGGAGGCACACAAAGCAAACAAAACACACAATGTCCCAATCCTAAGAGAAGCCTGAAGCAGCTGGGTTTTTTCTCTGATGGAATAAAGAGCTAATGTTCTAGCCACACACTACAAGCAAAGGCGATATCTTAACAGCAAAACCTACCCTCCCTCCCCTGCTCAAATTATACTATTAAGTTGTTGTTCATTTTCTCAGCATATATTTGAATGTCTACAGTGTCTGGCACTTTGCTAGGTGCTGCATAGCAAACACATCAGCTCTAGTCCTTGCCCTCAGGAGCTTCTGATTATGAAGATAAAGTGCCCTAGTTGGTATTGCACTTCAGTGATAGAGCCTTTGCCTCAAATGTATGAGGTTCTGGGTTCAATACCCAATACAGAGGAAAAAAAAATGCCCTAATAGAAATCTACACTGAGCACTGTGGAAATAATATGCAAAAGGAAAGGTAAAGCCACATGATATGAACATAAGCAGACCCACCACAAGGGCTGCTTACATGACAAAATGAGATCCTGAGTAAAAACTTTTTGAAGTTATTCCATCTGTGGAACTAGAGAGGTGGCTCAGTAGTTAAGAGCACTTATTCTTGCAGAGGACAGAGGTTCAATTCCCAGCTCCCACATGGCAGCTCACAGTAATTTGTAATTCCAGTTCTAGGCAATCTGACACCCTCTTCTGGTCTCTAAGAGAACAGATATACAAGCAGAGAAAACACCCATACACACTTAAAAAATTATTCCAAAGCCGGACATTGGTGGCGCACGCCTTTAATCCCAGCACTCGGGAGGCAGAGGCAGGTGGATCTCTATGAGTTCGAGATCACCCTTGTCTACAGAGAGAGTTCCAGGACAGGCTCCAAAGCAACAGAGAAACCCTGTATCGAAAAACCAACCAAAAAGAAAAAAAAATCATTCCATCCACAAAACACTGAGCCTGGGAAGTCAAGAGACCTGGAGTCTCGTCTTTATTGTTATACTATAAATAGAAAGCCACATTGGAAACAATGGCCACTGTAGGAAGGAGTGAGGAAGAATGTGCTGAGATGTGATCTAAATATCTTGGAATATCCTTATGTGTTAATTTGACTTTGGAAATACATGCTTACTGTTTATAATATAAACAAAATTTAATTTAAAAAGAGTTACTTCAAGATCCCAAAGTAGAAAATACTTGTCTGTTGGGGAGAGAGGGATGTGGAAGATGGTTATAAGCTACAATTCAGAGATGCAGCTGGACAGGAAGGTAACTGCTTACTGTCCTTATAGCACAGTTGACAACCCGTGTTCCAATTAAAAGATAAATCTAAGATATACAAAGAACTATGCCTGAGGTGACAGACATGCCACTGTCATGAGGTGCCCCAAATGCATTACTATTTGTTTATTATGAAAGAGCCTAACTGAAACAGAGCTGGTAGGAAAAACTACAAAGGCAAGATTTCAGGTAGCTTTAAAACTCAACATGTTGAACAAGGCTGAATATCTTGAGCATAAAATGACAGCCCCAACCTTTGAGTTTGCAGGTCGGCAGCTCTAAACTGAGACAGGTGTTGATAAAAACCCAGAGAAGACAACACCAGCACACCTAGGAGCAGGTTCTTAACAAACACTCCTGACTGCCACATAACTGTATAGACACTGAAAAGTGGAGAACCAACTGGTCCCAAGTCAAGGAGCCAGTATCTAAAAGGAAAGACTAAAGGGAGATGTAAGAGTCACACAGGTAGCTTTAAGTCAATCCTAAGGGACTTGTGCTACCCTCTTAGTACCAACTTTATTCCATAAAGGGTATAGTTGTCTCACTTTAGTCTTCTTGTGATAAATGCTACATATCATTTGCTTACGTTATTGTGAAACAAAAGCCTCTAACTGAAAGAATACTGGTCTAGAAATCAGAAAGAAAAATGACTGAATTAATCCAATCTCAGGGTTCCATTTCCTGATGGGCATCCCTGTTTGCTTAACTTTTCAAATTTGCAGTGTGTTATTTAAAAAAAAAAAAAAACAAATTGTACAGAATAATTTTCAGGTTAAAAAAAGAAGAAACAAGTTTAACATTCATTTCCTATTAGCTCCTAAACCTCATCACCACTAGTTATAAATCTGACGAAGGGCTGGAGAGATTGTTCAGTGTCTGCATGGGAGATGGCCAGAGGAGGCAATCCTGGAGACACACAGACACTCTGAGGAAGATGTTCAGGCAGCAGGCGCACTCAGGCTGTGGAGCCACAGTGGTAAGCAGCTCCACTGAGGAGTACTACAGAGACTCAGGGGCTGTGTCCAGAGACTGCACGGCTTCCACAGCCTTTAGAGATGCCTCCTGGTCACCTGTGATTTGCTGCCAGGCAGGACTGCAAACTCTGAGCCAGGCTGATCCTTATGCATACCTCTTTCCAGTACACTGCATTCTGGCAACTCATCTCTCTCCAGTTCAAAAAAAGGCATCCCTTGAAAAAAATCAAAAGCCACAGTACTCATCTCTAATATGTGGTAAAACTCACCTCATCAAATGACTTGTGAGGACGGATAACCATTTGGGATTCATAGGATCTGACCCTGACAAACTCTGGAGACTCAGGCACACTGGGATGTTCCACAGCACTGTAAGGAGGAAGAGGGAATGACTGTCTTTGCATTAACTGGTGGTAAGCCAAGGCTAAGATTCTAAAACACTGACTCAACAAAACCAAGCAGTCAGTGAGATACATGAAATATAACCCAGGTTGTAAAAATAAGTTTCTTTGATATTATAATATACAGTTCACAGGCTGTATTTCTAGTTTTACTTTTTAAATCATCAGCATTAAGAGATTCACAAGACTTAATCAGGAGTGTGCTTGCCAAGCATGAGAAAGGTTCTGTTTCTACCCTCAACACCCATTCCCACTCTCCTGCAACAGCTTGCAGGAATTTGTTCAGCTTCCCTGGTAGATCAGCGCACTCCCCAAGCAGGGCTTCTAGTAAGTCTGCAGGGCACTCATGAAGGTAAGCTTAAAGGTACAGATGGGTGCAGGCACAGCTAATGGAGCTCAACATGGGCTCTAATAGTTATACATACCGTGACACCAAGACCATCACATTGTTTTCCTGATCCACGCTATACCGACGAACATAAACGTAATCCCTCGAGTACATTGGATACTAAAGAAAGGGGGTAAGGAAGGATAAGTGTTCTGCATCACAGACTTGAAAGAAATAAAACCAAAGTAAATGTACTCACAGGAAAATGTGTTACCCAATGAAGAACCTCAGAACCACTGACGACATCTCTCTCAATCACCTCCAGCTTGATCACAAGAGCATCCCACTTTTTCCTGTACTCTGTGTCCAGCTGCAAAAAGGGAAGATCCAAACAGAGATGCAGAAGTTTCTCTGGAGGCTGGATCTCTGACTTAAGGACATTATGAAGAAATAGTAATTTGACTCAACTATTTGGCTATTTATTAGATGATTCTCTTAAGAGTCTTATACAATGGAAGAGGATTGTGTGTGTGTGTGTGTGTGTGTGTGTGTGTGTGTGTGTGTGTGTGTGTGTGTGTATACATGTTTGTGTTTGCACCTGTACATGTGTGGGCCAGGTCAATGCTGGGTTTCTTCTATCACTCTCCACTTTAATTTATTTATTAGTTTTTAGATTTATTTATTATGCATACAGTGTTCTAGTGTGCATGCCAGAAGAGGGTATGAGATCTCAATACAGATGGTTGTGAGCCACCATGTGGGTGCTGGGAATTGAACTCAAGACCTCTGGGAGATTAGCCAGTGCTCTTAACCTCTGAGCTATCTCTAAGCATTTATCTTTTGACATCTCAAATACAGACATATAGTATGCATCAAAACAACACCGATAAATACAGTGCCTAGGTCAGAGTACACTAGCATATCCTTCATGAGTGGGTGTATTGTTGTTGCAGTTCTAGCCCTTCAACCCAGAGCACATACTGCACACAATGCTCTATTTTCCCAGTCCTGTTTTTACTTTTTAAGACAGTTTCATTAAGTTGATCTTGATTGTCTTGAACTCACTATGTCCCAGGAAGGCTTCAGCCTCTCAAATAGCTAGGATTACAGGCCTATTCTAACAGGCTTGGCATTATAATAATCAACAAACTAGTTACTAAAAGCTTGGCAAAAAATTACAACACAATGATAGCAGGGATGTGGGGAAAGAGAAATCCTTCTACAGTGCTGGTGGAATTATACACTGGTGCAACCATTATGAAAATCAGTGTGGAAGTTTCTCAAAAACATTAAAAGTAGAACAACCATATGACCCAGCCACACACTCCTGGGCATATACCCTACTATAAATATTTACTGTTGCACTATTCATAAAAGCAAGGAAAACAAACCAAATGAAGATAGTGAACATGTGGTACTTATATACAATGGAAGGAAAAATGAAACTATAAAACTTTCAGAAAGATGAAAAATTATATTAAGCAAGGTAACAGACTCAGAAAGACAAATGACACATCCTCTTTCATATGCAGATCCTAGCTTTTAATGTTCACATATGTATAAGTATGTGGGTATGAGTGTATGTATAAGTCATGAAACCAGGAGTCCAGGAAAGGAAAAGGTATTCAGGAAAGAGGGGAAGATAACAGAACACGTGTGACATCAAAGTTGAAAGGGGCTACTAAGGGTAGAAATATACAAGAGGGGGACAGAGGGACAAGGGAGAAGGCAGGGGGGGAGGAAGACCAACAAAGCAAATTGTGTTTGAAAATGCTATAAAGATGCCTAATACTTGGCATATTTATTGTATATTTCAGTTTTTCTTGGGGTTTTTTTTTTTTTTTTTTGAGACAGGGTCTCTCTATGTAGTCCTTGATGTCCTGGGGCTATGTAAACCAGGCCACTCTCAAACTCTGCCTCCTGAGTGCTGGGATTAAAGGTACATGCCATCACAATTCAGCTGTATACAATTTTTAAAAATAAAAAATTAAATTTTAAAATGGAATCATCATGAAAGAAAGTTCTATGTAGTTAGCACTCTGGTGATTCTATCTTTCTCTCTCACTTCTGTTTTACTTTTATTGTTTTTTGAGACAGGGCTTCTATTATGTAGCTCTGGCTAGCTGTCCTGGAACTAGCCATGTAGCCCAGGCTGGCCTTAATTCTCAGCGATCCATCCTCCTGCCTCTGCTTCCCACGTGCTAAGATTAACGAAGATGCTACTAAAGCCAACTCTTTTGTTTTTAATTTGCTAGTTTGCTTTAACTCCTGGGACAGGGTCTTGCTATGTAGCTCTGACTAGCCTTGTTATTTGTTACACAACCCAGGCTTGCCTTAACTTGCAGTAAGTCTCCTGCCTCACCATCCCAAGTGCTGAGATTATAGGTATTCATGGAGCCAGGAAGCTCCAAATCTGGAAATAAAATTAACTCACCTGAACATTGAAGAACTGCCGAGGCGTCACATCTGTGTATGTTCCAAAAACTAGAACGACAAGAGGGGGAGGGAGGGGGAAGCTTGCCACACCCTGTCCAGAGGACTGACAGGTCTCAAAATAAGATCAAAACCTAAAAATCATCCCAGGAGCAGCAAAGCAAGGCAGAGACGACATGTATCAAGGAGCGATATGAAAAGTATGTCATCTGGGAGAGGAAAATACATGAGAGTTTGGCAAATTTTCTTCTATAGGACCAGGATAGAACAGTTCAGGAAGTACAGAAACAAAATGCCACATGCTGAGCACCATGGACATAAGTCAAAAGCAGCAGGCATGGCTCACCTCGGTACTGGTAAAGGTGAGTGCCTGTAATTGGGCGCCGCCACAGCTTGAAGTGTTTCTTGTCCATCACCATTTCCCATGGCTCCTCTTTGTCCTTTGACTTTTCATTCCCTTCTGCTGGGCTCTTTGGTTCAGGAGGGTTATTCTCAACTCCAGAACTCTGAAATACATTTGACATTTCCTCCAACCGTCTCATCTCATTAATAGACCTGGAAAGACAGAACCAGGCATATGTCCATGAAATGAAGTGTCCGAAGACCTGCAAAATGAGAGATGTGGTGGGAAACAGCATTCCACAGTGAACATAAATAAAATCTGAACTGTTAAGCTTGAATACTAGCCTAATGCTTGTAATTAGAATAATTACTTAACCAGTTCCCATTTCTAAATCTATAAAATGCAGAAAACATACAAAACAGTGCTCAAGACCTGGCACATAGCCTCAAATAACTTAAAAAAGAATTTTAACATTTATTTCTTTGGGGTATTTTTACTTTCCATGCACACAGTACATATGTGTAGGTGCCTTATTCCTGTCACCTAACTGCACTTCAAGCCCAGGAGTGACAAGTCTTTTTTTTTTTTAATTTTTCAAGACAGGGTTTCTCGGTATTGTTTTGGAGCCTGTCCTGGAACTCACTCAGTAGACCAGGTTAGTCTTGAACTCACAGAGATTCACGTGCCTCTGCCTCCCAAGTGCTGGGATTAAAGGTGTGCGCCACCAACCCCAGCAGGAGTGACAAGTCTTAAAGGCAGGTCAGAAACTGGCAATCACGCTGGGGAGAAGCCACATGAGACGGAGAGGACATGGATCAAGAAGACTGAGAAGCTGAGCCAGCTTCAAATACTAGCCACCAAGGCTTCTAACTGATGTCCTTTGATGCTCCCACCCCTTTGGTGACACAGTATCTCACTATGTAGCCTAGGCTGACCTTGAACAACTCATCTTCCTGCTTCAGTCTCCTGAGTATTGTGATTACAGCACACACCAACTGGTAAGACTTTTTTTTTGTCCCCCCTTTTAGTGGACTGTCTTCTTCCTATATTATTTTCCTCCCTGTTTTCAAATTGAAACATAATCTACATACCAGAAGATTCGTCCCTTTGCAGTATATATACAATTCAGTGCTTTTAATTAGACTACTCGAAAGTTAGGTATTTATTTTCAGACACTTCCCTCACTCTCCATCCCTGCCAGCCACAAGGAGTGATGGAGATAGATTCTAAAGCTCCATACATGTTAGGCAAGCATTCTTATCATTTGAGCTACATTCCCAGCCCCTACATTTACTTTTTTGAACTTTCAAACTACTTTATAATTGTCTGCTTACATTGATTTATTGGTAGGGGGAGGGATATGTGTCATGCTCACACGCGGAGGTCCAAGAGCAACTTGTTGGACTTAGTCCCCTCCTTCTACCATGTAGGTGCTAGGAAAAGAACTTGAGCCATCTATTGGCCATGAACCTATTTTCCAAAGCAGCTGTACCATTTAAATATCCATATCACAGACACGTGAAAATTCCAGTTACTCCACCTTTCCAACACTTATCATCTCCCTTGTTTTTGTTTCAAGGCAAGGTCTCACTATGCTGCCTGCTGGCCTTGAACTTCCTAGGTTTTAGTAATCCCTCTGCCTCAGCTTCCCAAGAGGCTACTGCGGTCCCACTCTGTCTCTTTAAATTGATCTTATTTACAGGTGTTCATGTGCCACTGTGTATGTATGGAAGCAAGAGGACAACTTTTAGCAATCAGTTTTCTCCTTCCACCCTGCCCCTGAGAGTCTCTCAATCCTGCTCCTGCCTGGCCATCTCTCCTTAGCTTCTAGCTAATTCTCCTGACTCTGCCTCCCAATTCCTAGTGGGAATGTGGGATTACAGATGTGAACAAACCTGGCGTTTTTAAAATATGTGTCTAGGGATCAAACCCATGCTATTAGACTTAAGCTCAAGGTGCCAAATCCCTGATCCCATTTGCCTTTAAAAACTCAGTCATTTTTCATTTTTGAGATTAAAGTCTCACTAAGTAAAGCAATCTAGCCTTGAACTCAGAGAGCCACCTTCTGCTTCCTGAGTGCTGGGATTGAAGGTATATGCCACACTCAACCTCAATAGTATTTTATAGATTTCTGTTTCTTGGGGCCAGGTGGTGGTAGCACATACCTTTAATCCCAGCCCTCAGGAGGCAGAGGCAGGCGGATCTCTGTGAGTTCGAGGACAGCCAGGGCTACACAGAGAAACCCTGTCTTGAAAAACCATACACACAAAAACAGCAACCTCATTCTTTTTGAAGCTGTTGTAAATGGAATCCTGCTCATTTCATTTTCAGATTATTTAGTGCTTACTGATTGTTTAGCCTGCAATTTTTTTTTTTTTTTTGGTTTCTCTGTGGCTTTGGAGGCTGTCCTGGAACTCACTTTGTAGACCAGGCTGGCCTCGAACTCACAGAGATCCGCCTGCCTCTGCCTCCCGAGTGCTGGGATTAAAGGCGTGCGCCACCAACGCCCGGCTAGCCTGCAATTTTATTAGTGTGAACAATTTACTAAATTTAACCGTTTTCAAGAATTCCTTGCTTTTTCAATCCACAAGGCAATATTTGTGGTAGTTTTACTTCTTCCTGTCCAGTCTGAGTACCTTTTATTTTTCTCTTCCCTAACTTGCCTGGCTATAAACACTGTTCAAAGGAGGGAGTGAGAGCAGAGACTTGTCTTGTTGCTGACCTTAGGGGGGGAGGTTTCATTTTCTCAACATGCTGTGAGCTATTTTTAGATGCTCTTTATAAATCTGAGGAATTTCCCTTTCATTCCCAATCTGTTGAGTGTTATTTTCTTAAAAGTTATGTATTGTAGGTGCTTTTGCCCATACTTTTGTCTATGTTCTACTGAGTGCCTGGTACCTTCAGAGGCTAGAAGGCAGCATTGGATTCCCTGGAATGGGAGTTACAGATAGTTGTTGGGCATCATGTGGATGCTGGGACTTGAACCCAGATCTTCTGAAAGAGAAAAGCAGCCAGTGCTCTTAACCATCAAATCATCTCTCCAGTTCCTGTGAATTCTTTAAATCATGAAATGAGGTTAGAATTAGCCAAATGTGGACAGGCGGTGGTGGCACACGCCTTTAATCCCAGCACTCAGGAGGCAGAGACAGGCGGATCTCTTTGAGTTCAAGGCCAGTCTGGTCTACAGAGTGAGTTCCAGGACAGGTTCCAAAACTACACAAAGAAATCCTCTCTCAAAAATCAAACAAAAAAGATTTAGCCAAGTTAAGTTTTTTCTCTAATTTTTTTTTCTTTCCCAGTACTTGGGACGAAGAGGCAGATCTCTGACTTTAAAGCTATTTACCACACAGTGAAAAGAGACCTTGTCTCAATGTGTGTATATACATCCATTTGTATAGTCCTCACAGAGGCCTGAAGAGATCAGATATCCTAGAGCAAGTTTCACGGGGTTGTAAGGTGCCCAAAGTGGATGCTGGGAACTGAATTTGGGACCTCTAGAAGAGCAGCATGTGCTCTTAACCATTGAGCCATCTCTCCAGACCCTTCTCTTTTTTTGAGACAGTCTCGCGTAGCTCAGGCTGGCCTCAATATACGTCCCTGAGGATGGCCTTAAATCTCTCTCCACTTCCTGAACACTGGGAGGACTGTGCTATCAGACCTGGTTTATAGTGATAGTAATCAAACCTAGGCTTTGTGTGTGCTCCCTCTACCAAGTGAGTTACATCCCAGCTCCTGTATTTTATTCCAGTAATGTGCCATATTAAATTAACTTTGTATGTTGTTGGATTCAGTCTTTAGTACTTCCACCTAAAGGGCTATAAAATTCTAAAATGTGATACTATATGATATGATTATATAATCGCTTGATCAATGCTTAGGTATAAAGACATAGATTGGCATAATATCCAACAAAGTGTGATTATGGACACATCTATAGAGGTAAGGACACAGAAAAACACTATTATAATTTTGGGGGGGGTTGTTGATGGTGTTGTTTATTTTATTTTTAAGACAGGGTCTCAATAGACTGGCCGCAAATTCCTGATCCTCCTGCTATAGCCTTCCTGCTATGCCTGTAGGCATCTATGCCTGGCTTTATTTCTTAAATGTTGTATTTAATATCTTTTAATCTTTAACCCTTTTATCTGAAACATTTATGAAAATGTTTTTTTAGCATGGTACTACAAAAACCGGTCAAAAGCTCCTGGCTAGGGAGGACATAGACCCTAGGGGAAATCTACTTACAGTTTTGCTAAATGGTAAATATCTATGCTTATACCCACACAGTGCTGCTTTCAAAGAAGCTTCTTTTCATAGTGGGTGACAGTTGACGTAGAGACTCAAAAGTGCTGAGAAAAGCAACTTTGAGTGCTCAGCCTTAAATGAGACATCTGCATCACAAGTTTAAGAAATATCAGATACTAGTTTTTTTCTCATATTCCCACCCACATTCGAATGTTTCCATCCTTCCCCACCCACTACACAAGGACTCCTATTGCATTCCAAGAACCTAATAGCCTGGATCAGTGACCGGGTCCCCTCAGAGCAATGGCTCCTTTCTCCCTGGGTCACTAAACTCTTTTCTGTTCCATATACCCCAATCTGGAAAGACTGGGAGGTTGGACTGCAGTCAATGAGAGACAGATACAGTCACCAGCTATGCTAGAATACAAGAACCAAGCACATTTCCTGTCCCAGTAGACCTGCTCCTCTGCTTTGATGAGCAGTGCACCTTCTTGATGAAGAGTAAAGTTTTGCTTTGCTCAGACACAGTGGTGGTCTCTTTCTTTGCCACTCCCGACTTATTTCTAACACAAAGCCCAGGAAAGTTAAGAGATGCTGCTGTCAACATAAGGTGGCTGCTCTACTCATGACTTACAATAGCTATGGTCACCTGCACAGGACCAGGCCAGGCAACATTCCAGCAGACAGGATGGGAGCTCAGGAGCTATTGGCAGTTTATGGCTATGGTGAATGGTCTCACAACCATGTACATGCAAGCAGCACTAATGACTTAGTGGGTTATGAGTAAAAAGTGGTATTTTAAGAGGTTCTAGAGGTAGGGATAGGTATGAACAAGATATGCTGTATACATGTTTGAAGTTGTCAAATAAAATAAACAAAACACGGCCTGTATTTTATAAATAACTTTAAATAGTAAACAGGAAAGAAAACTTTTTATGGCTGGACATAAAAGGGTGCAACTCAAGAC